CCTAGTCCGCCATCTTGCCCCGCCTCTCCCTTCTCATTCTTTAGCCATCCACCTAATCACACCAACTGCCCTCAGGTGGCACACAGTTTCAAAAAATGCACTATTTATGAAAATAGCTGTTGCCAAAATCCAGGGATGGATAAATGAATAGACAAATGAGAAGATCTGGTGGGATAGGCGAACATATCCCAGACCAAAGTTAGATTTGGCTGATTATCTTACATGTGCACTTGTGCTATAAAATTAGCCACATACATGACAGAAGCAACAGAAGACAGAGTTGGAGTAACTTCTCAGAAACAACCAAACACCTTAAGAGAGTGAATCAACAGATGTGCAGACTCAGGACTGTAGTCTTGGAGGACATCATGCTCAATTGGCACAACATAGTACATAAAAATCTTGTTCTGCAACCCACTTTGGTGAGTAGCATCTGGGGTCTTAAAAGCTTTTGAGCAGCCATTTAAGACACAACTATTGGTCTCCTCTCATCTGAAGCAAAGAAGAGTGAAAAAAATCAAAGGCATCTGGAACAATTAGTCCAAGGATTAGATGGATCACAAACACCCCAGCCTTCACGACCCTGAGACCCTAGATGGTGCCTGGCTACCAATGCCAGCCACACAGAAAGGGATCAAAACTGGAGTTCTTGAATAAAGTGGGAGGGAAAAATGTGGAACAAAATTCAAAAGCACAAAAATGACCAGAATTACTGGTCGGATAGACTCTGGTGAAACTTCTAAGACTATGGTCCCAGGTTACCCTTCAGGCCTAGAAATGGACTCACTTACATGGATTGGATCTCAGCCCAACAGTAGTAAGACTTAAATGTGGAACACCTACCCCAGGGCAATGCACCCACCTACTCCAGGGAGATGCACTCCTTAGAGCAATCAGTCATGAGACACCAGAGGGGCAGCACTCACATGGAGGAAAAGCTGGACAGACAGGAGTGCATAATTAAGAAGGACACAGGGAGGGGATAATCACAAGGGAGTGAAACTATCAAGAGGTAAAAAGGTGGGGTCCATGCAGTGGGGGAGGGGGCAAAATCTGGGGACTTGTATGTCATTCACTTGACATCTTACCAACAGAATGATTTCTTTGTCAAGGAGACATATCTCTGTGTCTCTCCTTTTGGTGCAGGGCACTCAAGTGATTTTCCTAAGAAGGGTCAAGGAGAAAGAGGTCATACTCATTTTTATTCTCTATTCCACCTTTAATGTAGAAGACCAGCACAGTCTTGAAGTATAATTCTAAATTTAGAGAAGAAATAACTCCTGGTTGGGGATGCTCTGTTCTTTTTTGTCCTTTTAGAGAAGAGGCTTATCTTATCCTTTCTGTCTGAGAACATGCAATTTCATTGTTCCTTTGTCTGTCAAATCAGAACATTTTTGGCTTGCTTTTATTAATGATGATAGTAGCAACATTTTCTCCTGCAACAACTTGCTTCTTTACAGAAGACTGGAAAAACTTGAAGGTTGTGATTCAATTATAGCTTATTTCTAAATTTACAGATGACTGCCCTACAGGTTAATCATTTGAGTATGGTAGTCTGAATTCTGACTATATGACACTTTTATATTAATGCCAGGCTTTAACGGTATGCTTCAGACTAAGCATTTCCAAGCCAGGCATTCTATTATAAGCCTGCCATTAATGCACAAGACCTCATAGTGACAAATTATATAAATCCTGACTATATATTTTGAACTCACATTATTATATTTACAGGATTTTAAGCTTTAAAGTAGTAGGTTGAACTAGATGCCCTTTAAAATATTAACAATATTATGCTTTGTGGTTATTTTATTATTGTCAAAAGGAAAATGTAACCAATTTAATATACTCTAAGGTTAGTGGAAGTAAAAACAAGATGGAGTGATTTTAGTTTCTATAAATACGTTCTTCTGGGTAATTACTTTGTGGAATAAATAGTATGTGATTATGCTTTGTTTCTTAGCAACATGACCTGGCTAGTTTTAGGATGAGAGTTTATTTTTTGACATTAAAATATTTTTTAATCTGTTCTAATGATAAATGACCTTAATTTGCATCTTTTTTTTTTTTTTTTTTGGAAGGTACTGTCCAAGAAACTAGAACACTATTAGCCAACAAGAATGTTCGTGTCAACTGTTTAGATGAGGTAAAAATAAGTTTCATAAAGTGTTTTATTTCATGAGAATATATAAACTATAAATCTACAAAAAAGTAAGAAAAAAGAAGAAAGAGTAGCAGGAAACAGGTGGGCAGACAGGTAAATAGTCAGAAGTGGTTAACACAAATGACAGTTAAAATATAAGCAGACTTAGGAAAACAAAGACAGTTTTCAATTTAAGAGCCAAAGGCTTTCCTCATCTCCTTTGTTCCTATGCATATTATCACATTGTACTAAAAGCTTTTTAAACTAGAAGACAGTTGTTGCAGTCTCCAGTTATTTGTTCACAGAGCTAAATAACGTCAAGTTGTTGAATGGTTTTGTTGGCTGACTGTATGCCCACCTGTTCTGGATTAATACAAAATGCTGAACCTCCAAGCTAAACTGTAGGTCATAAAAATTTGTAACAGAAGGAATTGTTTGCTTCTTTGGGGCAGCCATTCTCATGGTGCTGTGTCCTTTCCCCACAACATACATGGTACAGGTTATTTTGTCAATTTGGAGTTGTCACACTGTTCATACTCTGAAAACATTTTTGCTCTCCGGCTCTAGAGACCAAAAGGTAACAGGTAGTCTATTACTGCCCCCTTAAAGCACTCCATTGGCTACCTCTGTACAATTCTGTGATTACCCATACCCACCCACTCCTGCCTGAAAAGGAACACCACATCCATATAGAACACGTAAGTAAGGGAATTCAAAGTTATAATCTCCTTATTCTTTTGCATTACTACTCTCAATAAACTTTGACTTCTCCTTTACATTGCCTCTTTTACAACAGCTTAAAATAATAGCTTCCCTATAATCATCACCACAGGAGCCTTGGTGGTGTAGTGGTTATTCAATTGACTGCTAACCGAAGGGTCAGCAGTTAGAAACCACCAGCTGATCTGTGGGTGAAAGATGTGGCAGTCTGCTTACAAGTCTGTAAAGATTTACAGCCTTGGAAACCTAGTGGAGCTGTTCTACTCTGTCCTGTAGGGTCACTATGAGTTGCAATTGACTTGATAGCAGGGTGTGGGTATAAACTCACACCCTCTGAAAGTGTTATGGAACTATGTCATAATATGATGGCTATGTTCATAATAATAGTCTAGAGTCATCAAGAACAATTCAAATTATGCTCCACATTCTAAGCTTTATTATATAAGGGATTACATGTTTTAGAGATGTTTTCATCCAAAACAAGGTGGACATCCCAGCACTTACAGAGTTGAATCTGAGTTACTGAGAAAATTTGACTTACAAGGAACAGCTCACTCATTTTACTAGATACCCGGTACATATAAGGTTGGATGCTTTCCTGTATGTGCACAAAACATATGGAGACCAAATATTAATAGCCTAGAGTGAATATTGTATTACGTAATCTTATGCACACACACACATATATGATTTCTTGAGATCATTGTTTTTAGAAAATAATGAGACCATTATACATTTCCTGAGCCTAGTTTTTCTTACTGATAGTAATTCATGGACATTCATCTAATTCAACAGATACAGATGAGTTAATTTACTTAATAGCTTCAAAATATTCTATGTAGTGATTTATCACTTTATTCAAATTTCCCCTTGATAGGCATTCTATTTGTTTTGAGGAATTTTTTTTTTTTTAAGATTTTTTTTCCTTATATACCTGTATCTGTTTGTACATTTGTTTTCCCAGTAGTTAAGTATGTTCGGTAGAAATGAGAACCCTAAAACTCTGGGTTCTGATCCCTGCCCTAGCCACATACTAATCATGTGCATTAGAGCAAGTCTTTTTTGAATCTGTTGATTTGTAAAAAGCTCAGGTATTAAAACTCTCTTTTCCTCTGTAGTTTATGGACTATCCAAGTAGAGGAAATGAAATATAACCATATTGCACAGATTATGAAAATGATTTTATTAATTCATCCTTATGTTTTTAATTAATTTATAGGAATATAGGTAGGGAAAAGGTGTATATGGAAAAGTAATACATTGTTTTCTTTTCTATTAAAGAACGGAATGACTCCTCTAATGCATGCTGCATATAAAGGAAAGCTTGATATATGTAAATTACTTTTACGACATGGAGCTGACGTCAATTGTCATCAACACAAATATGGATATACAGCCCTCATGTTTGCTGCACTCTCTGGTGAAGTTTTAGCATTTACTTTACTTATTAATATCTGTTACCTATATGAATTTGTTATAAATACATATATTTATAAATTAAATGAATTTTAATTTTAAAGTCAAGTTTTCTGGCAAAGAATGATGGGGATTGGATTCTGGAAATGTGAAATGTATGAAATATATTATGTAGTTAGTTTGGTGATCTGTTTCTTTACTTATTTAAGTCAGTTGATTCCTTATGTTAACAATGTATTTTATAAGGAGTTGAGAGCTGGATGTATTATTCTTTTCAATTTAGCACCTTTGTTTGTATATATGTTGCTGTATTTTGGAACAGTACAAAAACTTCTTTGTTGTTCTCTTGAGAGAACAGCTGCTCTAACAGTTATGCTAATTTCCCCAGCTTTTATGTACAAAATATAATGACCCATTTAGAAACTTACTCTAATTCATGTTGCTTATGATTTGCTGAATAAAGACAATTATAACATATTATCTAAAATTAAGTGTAGATATATGTAATTGTTGCAATTTTTTTTTTAAGAAAATAAGACATAATGTAATATTCTCATACTTTAAAAGCTAATCTATATTTCTATAATCCTGGAATCGAAAAGCATTTCTGAGCATGAAATAATATATAGACTCCAAAAAGGACAATACTGACCAGTTTGATGACATAAAATATTAACATCTTCATCTGTAGAATATACCATTAATAGGAATACAAGTGAACAACTGAGGAAAATATTTATGGCATATCTTAAAGGGTTTATTATATCTTTATATATGAAGATCCTTATAAGTCAGTTAGAAAAAGACAAATACTGCAATTGAAAATTCAGCAGCAGAGAACATATATAAATTGTTGACCAGAGAAACACAACTGTCTGGTAAAGATATCAAATATGCTCACCAATAATCAACAAAATGCAAACTAGAACATTAAACAACCATTTTTCACTAACATTAGCAAAGGATTAAAAAAAGACTGATATGTCTAGGATTGGTTCAGGAACTTCTTTGTACTGTTCTGGGGTTTTATATTAGTACAATGTTGCTAGAAGGCAGGCTGGCAAAATGAATTTAAGATATGCATTATCTTTGATTCAGTAAATGTTTTCGAAGTATTCCCAAGGAAGTCATAGTTGAAGTTTGCAAAGATGAATGGAAATTGGTTGTTCACTATGTCTAGATTAAAATAGCAAAGTATTTGTAATGATTCCATTACTGAAAGAGTATGAATAGAATAACCATGGATATTCACATAGACAAAAAGTCTGGAAGTATAGATAACCAGCTGTTAAGAATAGTTATTTCAAGACCTATACATGTAAGAGATGGATGGCTTAGTGCATATTATGGGGCAACTTCTATTTATTTTCTCTCTCCTGTCTTTGTTTTGGAGGTCTGGTGGCAGAGTGGTTAAAGTACTGCTAACCAAAGGTTCTGTGGTTCAAATCCACCAGCTGCTTCATGGGAGAAAGATGTGGCAGTCTGCTTCCCTAAAGATTTACAAATTTGGAAATCCTGTGGGGCAATTCTACTCTATCCTTTAGGGTCGCTATGAGTTGTAATTGGCTTGACAATAGTGGGTTTGGTTTGGGATTTTGTCTTTGTTTTTGTTATTTTCTTGTTTGTTTTGATTTTATGCTAGCCATTATCATTAGAAAAAACAAATATTTCATTTTTCTTAAAAAAAACAATGAAATGATACTCAATTTCATACCATTTTATGTTGCCCAATGTATTTTCCAGAAAATAGGCTCATTTTAATATGGATTCTATAACATTTCACTCTTCACTATAACCATGATCTATATTTTGGGGGGTGGGGAGTAAACAACCACAAAGCAGAAACTTAAATTGGGGAGAGAAAAAAAGGTACAGATAATTTAGAAGGGGAGGGGTGTTTGAATTATGTGTCCCTTAATAATAACACATATTGATAACTCCAGGTAATAAAGACATCGTGTGGGTCATGTTGGAGGGTGGTGCTGAGACAGACATTGTCAACACGGTGGGAAGAACAGCAGCTCAGATGGCAGCCTTTGTGGGTGAGTTTTTACTATAGTTTTCCATTAGTTTATGCCCCAATTTTTCATTGTGCAAAAATACCACTTTGCTTTTCAGAATGCAAATATTGTCATGTTATTTTTTAAGAAATCATAATGCTAAGTTTTGCCTAACTTACTGAAACAATTATACTTGGAGAAAATGAGCAAGCTACTTTGAATTTCTACTTTGTGAGATATGGTAAGACCATTTTAGTTATAGTCGAATGCTTTGAATAAATAAATTTTAATTGTGTAAGGGAATTAATTAAACATGGCATCAATAAGAATCTGCAAGCCTTGACTGTGGACTCAATCATTCTGGGTTGGAATTCTGGGTGTAGAACTTAATAGCAAGTTACTTAATGATCCTGATCATCAGTTTCCTCATTGTAAATGGTTACATGGTTATTGAAAGAATTAAATGAAATGATAAAGAAGTTAAATGTAACACTAAATGTAACAGGTACTGTTGGTGATTATAACTACAACAATGCAATTCTTTCTAAGGAAAGAGTGTTAATATACAGGTGCTTTTATTATCATCATCACCACCTACAAAAATTTATTTTTTGTATGCAGTAATTCTTATTATGCTAAACCTAGTGCTTGACATAATGTAGGAACTTAGAAGAGAGTGTTCCTTGGTATTATAGCCCACTGAGTTGATAGTTAAGAGGGTCCATTGGTAGAAAGGCAGAGAGAGAAAACTCTGATTTACTGGAAATGACCTCGTGGGGCCCAGTAATTCATTAAACAAATATTTAATATTCACCAACTGTGGTAGTTAAAGGAGCTCTGGTGGCATAGTGCCTAAGGTCTTTGACTGCTGACCAGCAGCCACTCCCAATTGGGAGGATGGTTGCGTAATCTACTTCCATAGTGATATACCCTCAGAAACCCAAGGAGGGGTCACTATGAGTTGGGTCCGACTTGACAGCAGTGGGGTGGGAAGGGTGGTGGTTGTTGTCATGTGCCATCAAGTCGGACCCAACTCATAGCAACCCCTCCTTGGGTTTCCAAGGCAGTATCACTACGGAAGTAGATTGCCCCATCTTCCTTCCGAGGAGTGGCCAGTGGGTTTGAACCACCAGCCTTCTGGTTAGCAGTCAAGTGC